TTATAAGAGCGGCGCAGCATATGATTATTGATCTCCCTGTATTTTGTAAGATTACAAGCATTTCGGGTGGAATATAATGGTAGTGTATAACTATTTTATACATATAGTTCTACGTTTTCTCAAAGATCACTGTTTTTTATTAGGTTGGATGATTGAAAAAGTGTAGTGTGTGTTGGCCGTTGGTAGAGGGGCGGGTCTACGGGAGAGCCCTAGCTATGCCGAACTGGCCTTCGGCTCGCTCGGCATTGGTGTTCGACAAATGCGAGCCATTTTCGTTGTGAGAAGGGCGAGCTCGAGCTATGCCAAGCTCTCCTTCGGCTCGCTCGGCATTGGTATACACTTCATATTTTGTGAACGGAATCGTTGATAAACCCCGAAATTCGGGTCAGCGGTTGGTATATAAGGTGCGTGTGTTAAAAATCGAAAGTCCTAGACAGGGTCCTAGATCACCTTACTTCGTTAGGAGTCATCCGCCATTTCGATTCAACCACGTTTGTTTAACAGATGTTGCTTAATTCAATTTATCATATAACCTCACGAAATATGGTTTACACCGAGGTTTACACCATGTTAGTCTAACGTGTTTTTGTTTTTTAAAGAAAAATCTTGTACTGTCTTAAACTGTAATCCTAGTCTATTTCGGGTGGAGATCGCCGTTCTTTATTACGTTGGATGTATGATTGAAAAAATGTAGTGTGTCTTTGGCCGTTGGTAAACGTCGTTTACTACCGTGGAAGTAGAGAGGCGAGTCTAAGGGAGGGCCCGAGCTGTGCCGAACTCGCCTGCGGCTTGCTCGGCATTGGTATACAAAAAAATGTAGTTTGTGTTTGGCCAATTAGTAACGTCGTTTACTACCATAGATGTAGAAGGGCGAGTCTAAGGGAGGACCCGAGCCATGCCGCACTCGCCTTCAGCTCTGTCGGCATTGGTACACAAAAAAAGTGTAGTGTGTCATTTGTCGTCGATAAGCGTCGTTTGCCACCGTGGACGAAGAGAGTTGAGTCTAAGGGAGGACACGAGATATGCCGAACTCACCTTCGGCTCGCTCGGCATTGGTATCCAACAAAATCTAATGTGTGATTGTCAATTGATAAGCGTCGTTTGCCACCGTGGACGAAGAGCGTGGAGGTTAAGGGTGGGTCCGAGCTATGCCGAACTCGCCTTCGGCTCGCTCGGCATTGGTATACAAAAGAAGTGTAGTGTGTCATTTGTCGTTGATAAACGTCGTTTGCCACCGTGGACGAAGAGAGTTGAGTCTAAGGATGGGCCCGAGCTATGCCGAATTCGCCTTCGGCTCGCTCGGCATTGGTATGTAAAAAAGTGTAGTGTGTGATTGGTCGTTGATAAATGTCGTTTGCCACCGTGGACGAAGAGAGTTGAGTCTAGGGGAGGGTCCGAGCTATGCCGAACTCGTCTTCGGCTCGCTCGGCATTAGTATGCAAAAAAAGTGTAATGTGTGCTTGGCCGTTGATAACCGTCGTTTGCCACCGTGGACGAAGAGAGTTGAGTCTAAGGGTGGGCACGAGCTATTGGTACGGCACATGCGCAAACGATAATAACTCTTGTGCCATTATCGTTTTTTATCAATCCGAAAATATATACATTCGGGAGGGACCAAGTATACGTAGCCCACCCCTCCCCCCACTATGTATTTTGGCGCTGTTATCTATGTCACCTGATACATCTGGTTGTGCGCTCAATTGCGCCACTTGAATAAAGCTAGCGCCATCAAGGTTAAGCCATGACAAATTTTCAAAAAGTGGAGGGGGGGGG